AATAAATGAACTGGAGGCTGAGTTGGAATAAGCTACGCAAAAAGTTTTATTAAAAGATTCTGATACTAACCAGTTGTGTAGCAATTTCTCTCTTGAGATTAAAGCAAAGGAATTAAAAATGAACTGGAGAAAATTACGCAAAATTCATTATTTAAGGATGGGTTAATTTTTTGTCTTAGATCCAGGATAAGTAATCTGGAAGATAAACTAGATCAGATTGTTTCGCAACCACATCAGATAATTTATAATTCAAAAATAGGTAGTATAGAAGCGAACTCAGCCTCATCATCCAACGATTATAAACATGATGAAGTAGTAGAAGAGATACCTCATTTTTCTTCACACTACTCAGAGTGTGAATCTGATGGAAAAGAAGATTATGTTCAGCCGTACTTGTTATTACATTAGGAGGTAGCAATACTTTAGTTAATGATTAGTATATAATCCTGCCTATATTCAAGTTTGTTATTTTTGCCTTCGTAATAATATTAATTATATGGTATATATACAGACGAATTTTTCGTCCAATCAAAAAGAAAAAAATTTTTTATCCAGTCTATAGAAATCAGAGTTATGGATTCCCAATCCGTCATGTGAAAGAACCAAAAGACAGAACTACCCCCTATGAAACTTCATCTTTTGGATATGGATGAAGTCACAAAACATGAATCATCCCGAAATATTGGCCATCCAGCAATAATATGGACATTCGCTATGGTTGTTACTGGGAAAAGTGGTACAGGTAAAACTAATTTACTTGCGAACCTTGTTCTTAGTGATAAGGATGAATATGTGCGAAAGGGAAAGAAAGGCAGGTCTAGATATATCCGTTGTGATGATCTGATTATATGCAGTTATCATCCAGACAAACCAAAATGGGCATATATTAGATATATATATAATATGATTTCAAAAGACCCAAGAGCGCCTTACTATGAGGATATTAGTTTTAGCTATATACCACCTGAAAAAATTCCTAGTATAAGAGCATTCTCACCTAAAATAAGTACATTAATTATTTTTGAGGATGTATGCTTAGCTCTAGAGCATATACAAAATCGAATTGGCCAATTTTTTGAGAATGGGTATCATCGAAATATTTTATGTGTATATGTAATGCAAAAATATCATAAATTTGATACATTCACCCATGAAAACACAACACATCTAGTAGTATTTAACTCTGATAGCTCAAATGAAGATATTTCTAAGATCATTAGGCGCTATACTGATGATGTAAAAAATGCATCTATGGTTATTAATAGTTACTTCTGCAAAGGTGAGTTTGTTGTATTTGATCTCACTAGACCAGAAGATGATCCCCTTGCAATCTGCCTAAGGTTTGATACTTCACTAAACCTGCAGAAGGAAATAGAGGCTAGGCATAAGCGCAGGGAAAAAATGTCCAAGCTAATGAGTAGAATCTGACTTAATAGATACTAGCTTTTTTTTTGTAATTATAAAAAATTGGAATGGAAGAACCTTTGATTTATATTGATCCTCAAAAAGCTCATAATTTAGACCAGCATCTTGCCTTGCAAAAACTATATTATTGTCCTGAAGGTTTATATCAAAATGTTAAGGGATTATGGGGTGATTGTAAAAAAGCTAACTACAGCTTTCCATTTATTGATGTAAAAAAATGGCTTGAGAGTCAAGCAATGTATCAAATTTTTCGTCTTTCACCAAAGGATATACCTTATGCCAGTTACTCTAAAATCACGAAGTCAAATACTGTATACTAATGTGATTTAATCGAAATACCATATGATAAAGATATAGATATAAATTTACTAGATGATGGCGGTGGTCCTCCAATATATTACTATGTATTATTGGTTATAGACTGCGCGACTAGATATAAAGATTTCATTTTTTTAATATCAAAGAGCAGTAAGAAAGTTGCGGAAGCATTTAAGAGTATATATGATAATCCCGATAAGCCTCTCAACTGGCCTCGAAAACTACAATGTGATAAAGGCACTGAGTTTATGAGATTTGTGACTTTATTAATAGACGAACACAGTGTTAAAATCTGAAGGATTATAGCACGTTTCAGACATACAAGCTTAGCTATTCTTGACAATTATGCTGGACATTTTTCTAGAAGAGTTTTTAAAAATCAGTATTCGGTAGAATTTCTCCTGCCTATTGGCAAGCGCTGTAGAGAATGTGAGCGGTTTGCAAGAAAAATTGTTGATAATATGAATGATAGCCCAACTCGATTGA